GTCGATTAATCAGATCATCATAGTCAACTACCTCGATGGTTTGACTGAGTTTTGTTGAGATGGAATGGTTTGTTGAGCATTGAAAATATTAGTATATTGTATTGTTTTATTATATATTATATTGAATTGTTCCATATCATCAAAAAAAATGTAAACTTATTTTCATATGTTTTTTTCTTATTTTAGTTTTGCAAGATTTTTGAAAACACAAAACTAAAAATGTTGAAAAAATATATTTTTGTTTTTTATTTGTTTTCCCAAAATTTACCATAACACTACTAAAAATGCTGGCCAAAAAACGCTTGTAACCTAGAGCTATGCCTATTCTGGTCTAATTGTAGGACCTCTTATGTTTATACTGAGGCTTTATCCAAAATTTCTTGACATAAAAGCAACTTCTCTTATGAAATATTTATTCCTAATATATATTTATTGAAAGTTATTATTAATGCAGCTAATGTTAGCAACTTTATCCTATTATATGGGCTTGATTTAGCGTCTATAAAATTATTGTGTAGAAACCTTACAAAATATTTTTCAGTGTACCACAGCCAACACTAATAAACGTTTTAACATAATATTTATAACGAAACCCGTATTAATTTATTTATTTGTTTATTAAAAAAATTAGCAAGTTTTTCGGGTTCAAGTTGAACTTTGTTAATAATTTTTTAAAAAAAAAATAAAAAAATATGAAATTTGCAAATTTCATAAAATCCGAAAAAAATAAATAGAAGAAATGTAAATCACTGAATTTATAGTGTTAGTAAGATTGTTCTTCGTCAGTATCTGTAAAGTACAAAAGCAATACAAATATTATGCCAAAGTAACTAAAATTTAATAATATTTTTTTATATAATTGCACGCATTCCAAAATTATTGATATTTGATGATCAACAAATGTTAATTTAATATGGAAATTAACTTGTTAACAAAATCAGTTGTGAGTAACTTTTGGTTTTCGTTATGAAGTTAAACGATGCGGAAGTAAAAATGAAGTCATTAAATTTTTAGTCAAACCAATTAAAGTATCAGTGTTACTAATTAAGAAATTAGTTAAATTTATGATTGCGAATAGCAAATTGAGCACTCCCCAAAGGGAGTGCAACCTAAAAATAAAAACCTTCACCTTAAATATTCAAATTAACAGCGTGAAAATGCTTGAAAATGTTAAAAGTTTATTATAAATAAAAAATTTATTAGTGTAAAATTCGTGTTACACGCCCTTCTCTGCAGTAAACGGAACCCAAAGAAAATGGTAGGTGGTATTAGACAAAATGATTTTTTCTTTCCTAAAACTAAAACTTATAACCCATGGTGCGATAAACTGGCAATTAATTTTATAGTTTTTTCCTTTTATATTTTGGAGTTTTAAATAAATTTGTTTTTTATTATAAAAATTGCTGTGAATATAAATAAAATGAAATTAGAGAAAAAATCTACAATTAAGAAAAACAAATTTTAAATTTATATTATATAAACGATTTAATTATTTTATTTATTTAACATAATTTCAAGGTTGATTTTTTTCGTATATTTTTCAAAATCTCAGATTCTTCTTTTGATAATTTATTTATTCTTCCAATCATTTTCGATTTTAAGAAGAACTTCTAATTCTTCTCAAATTTGACTTGTCTTGCTAAACAATTTTGAAACTTATAAAATTTTTTTATAAGTTAATAATAGATGATTATTTTGTTTAGTTTATTAAGCAAAACTTTTCAATTTTAGATTTTTTTCTATACATATATTTTAGATACTATACACGTATGATAAACGTACGATTTCTTAACGTCACAAAACTGGGTAAACTTGTTTTTTTTTTTAAATAAATGTTGGTTATTTTTCAAATTTATAAGAAAATCATGAATTTTGTGACCAGTTTCAATTATGAGAACACTTTTATGCTAAAAGGAAGTAAAATATATATAAAATATTGCTAATAAATTATTTTTAATTAAATTATTAAATATGCGATAACTGACTGCATAACACATGAAGTATCTGAAAGATACAGAACGAAACAAGTTAATGAATTAGCATAACCTAAGAAAGTTATTGGCTTATTGCAAAAATGAAAAAAAGTTAAAAATATAATTTAGCAAATTATACGTACATAAAAATTGTATCAAAGCAAATATTTATATATTTTTTATGAGTGCCACTTTTAACTGCGATGCGGCTCAATCTTAGGGACCTGGTGGATATGCCAAACAAGGGCGCTTAAAAAATAATATCCTTTATCAACTGCACAGGTTGGTCTTAAAAGTGAGATTTTTATAATCAAGTGGTACAAAAGAAGCATCTATGCGCTATTTGGAGAGAAATAGATGCTCTACTGTCATTTAGACAACCAACCAAGCGCCAGTTAGACAGTAGTAACAGGAAATAGTAACAGGAAATATATGGCAACTTTCATGTCAACGTAATATATACATATGTATATATACATAAGAATTTGTTTCACAAAATAATGAATTTTCATAAGAAAGTGTGCTCTTTAATCGCTAACAAGAAGAACGGATAGTTCAGGTATAGATTCATTTGATAAGAACTGTGCTCAATTTCGAAAGTTCTTCCAATTGAATATATATTGCTTTTCAGACTACTGCCATGTATGCTATTACACTTAACTATAATAAAACATATCATATCATATCAGTCCTACTCAGCAATTACATTAGAGCTGACTTTAATATCAAATTATGAGGTAAATTATCCTTACTAAAACTTTTGATAACAGAAGTTATCTTATTTTGGTTTATATTTATATCGACAGCTCAAAGGTAGGATTTAAATGTCAGTGTTATATTTTAAGACACTATAAATAGGACAATACTTTTACTTCATTGGACTACTACAATGTTTCTTAATTTGAAATTAAAACTATTCATAAGACAGCTAAAGTGGTAAGGTGTAAAACGACATTTTTCAATTTCTTCTTAACTAGTTGTTAGTTTGTTGAGAATAATAATGATATTATATTATATTATTATATTCAATTGACATAATTGGTTATTACCGTAATTAACAATTTTGACATTTACTCATACACAAGATAAAGTCTTTCCAAAATGTCTTGGTACATAGTTCAAATTAAAAAATTTTGAAAGTAAAACTTCAGTAAATTTCTGAAATTAACATAAAAAGGTGCAACTAAGCATTTTGAATTCATTTATTGCTTATTATAATCTTAAAAGCTTAATTAAACAAAAATCCACAAAAAAGAAGAAGAATCAAATATGAAAGAGAAATATTATTATTAATAGCCCAAAAGTGTATGGCTTTGACATTTTACGAAAACAAAAGAAAATATTGTATTTTTTTTTATTAAATTATATATATATATATATAAATTATAAAAAAATAGCATTGAATATAACTGAACCGGATTTATTTGCTAAATTTTATACGGGTTGAAATTTTAGTAGATATGAGTCAATATTTTAGAGGTTAAGTAGAGGAGTATTTATTAGTTGCTGAGTAATTATTTAATAAAACTAAATTAATATTAACACTAATAATTAGAACAATTTAAATATCGATTCATCTTTTAACTATTAACTTATTTTTACTACAATATTATATTCTTCAAACTTCTCAAGCAAAGTTTGTGAATTTGTGACTAAACTTAATCTGAGTATAAACAGAATTTATGCAAATTACAAAAATGAAAAAAAAAGTCGTTTACCCATCTTTTAAACTTAGTCATCTTTATTTTTTGATTTCAAATTTCTAAAAAACAAACAAGAAAATTGAAATAAAAACGGTTTGTTAATATAAAAATTTAATTTAGTAAAACAGTTGGTCCAGACGCGCCATCAATTTCGTATGTCTAACGGAAATTTTTAATAAAATATATTTTTTTTTTAAGCCTTAAAAAATAAAAAACATGTTAGGTCGATATTCAGTTTTATTGGTAAGATCTATTGAAAAAAATTCATTTATATATTTTTTTAAAAATTTTGTCGTTTTGCAATCTCATAACATAAACAGTTATAATAACAAATTAAAACAATTTAATAAATATTAAAAATCACAGAAAAAAATTAAATAATATATGTGTTATTATTGAAACAAAGAATATAAATTATAAATTAATAATTTTTATAATTTAATTTTTCCTGTTTATAAAATATAAACCAAAAGTGAAAACAGGATTAACCAATTTATGGTTCTAAACGTACACTTGTGATTGAGATAGCAGTTAAGTTTTTATTTCAACGAATTCTATGATAAACAATATCATTGAAATATCTTCTGTAAAACATCTTACTGTACTGAATTCTTTTAAGATGGCTTCTCGGCACTCATTTGGAAATAGCTTGGACATATATAATTATTTTTAAAGCGTTGAGTTTAATTATTATCCTCAAAAAATTGATGCTTTTTATACATAACTCTACAAAAAAATGTACACTTGATAAAATGCACATTTTTAACATGTGCAGCGGTTGTTAAACGATAAAATGCAAAACATGGCTAAATAAATGGTGTGTTGGGGATAGTTCAATTTTACACATGTTACTGACGCAATGCTGCCAAATGGATAATCCTTAAAGTGTGTATTCCTCTATAAAAATTTGTGAATATTATTATTCAAACCTTTGATCTTGATTAATACTGAGAAAAAAATATTAACCGTTGCTGCTGAAATCATCTTAAAGTTTTTATTGGGTTATAAAATAATTATCAATATCTTTTGGCTTCTAGTAAAGTCATTATAATAAACTTATAAATCATAACGATATAATACTATATAATTGAAAATATTTTAATAATTTAACAACATAAATTAAATAGCATGTTTTAATTCAAACATAAATCAAAACATAGTAAAATATATATTATTTTTAAAAATAATAATAATTAAATTTTCATCTTACAAGATTTATAGATAATATATGTTAAAACATTGATAATATGCTAAAACATTAATACTATATATATTTATTTATCTCAATAGCGTATTAATTCTTTTTTTCTATCTCCCTATATAGGCCGTTGCTTGCATTATAGTGCAATGCGTACTCTCTGCGAAATTTGATGCAGAGAATCGTCGTCTCATTCTCGATATTAAAGATCAAAAAACCACAAATAATCAATATTATTCGTCAAACTTTGACACGAGTAAGTAAAATGTTTCATATTTTTAAAATACTAATAATCACAAAACATATCTAAATCATAATCTATATTTTTATCATAGTAACTTCATAAATTCCCTAATTTTTAAAGCATTATTTTTTTTGTATTAAATTTTTTGTAATTTCACAATTAGCAAAATTTTTTGTTAGTCTTACTTTGTTTTCTGTTTACATGTACTCACCCTGTATTTTGTAGTAATATATTTTGCGAGTGTATGCTTAGTTATGATGTTATATATGTATCAAGAATATTAAATATATATTTTATTGATATATATAAATAATATGTACCTATGTACCTATAGCATACACTTAATTTTGTTGTAGATTTAAGTAAAAACTAGTCTCCTTTTAGTTATTGCTCATTAATTTCGTAGTTCGCTGTTGTAGTTCAAAAACATATTTTTAATTAAATCATATATATATATATACAATTTACAATTAAAATTTTATTTATTATTTCATATGTAATTTAATTTTTTTGTTCCTTATATAAAAATGTATTTTAAATTTAATAATTAATTAAATTAATTAATAATTAATATCGTAGCGCGCTGTAGCCTTAATAAATGTAGCTGATCGTAGTAGTTTTGTACGCAATTTGCCCAAAAACAACAACAACAAAAAATTAAACAAATTTTATTTATTAATACAAAATTTATTTATTGTAGCTAAAAAAAAAATAAAAATAATTTTGTTGTTTTTGTAGCTTTACTAAAAAAATTATACGAAATCGAACAAAACCAAAAACGTAGTTAATCGTAAAAAAACTCGTTAAATTCTTACTCAAACTGTAAATATTTTCAAACAATATACAACACACTCTATTTTTTATATATTTTGTTAATTTTTGTATTAGTGGAAAAAAGTTACATAAAGCTTCGCATACTCATCCCTTCACCATTACCCAACAACAACAAAAACAAATAAACTCCATCCAACTATTTTCCTATCTTACTTTAAACTGAAAAAATCTAAATTATATGTTGTTAAATTATATGTTATATATTTAAACGCATATACATGCAGAGAAATACTGTATCAACCTATCCTTTCAAACATCCTGTAAATCCTCATCCCATCCTATATATCACGCACATCCTATAATCTTAACTTTAACCTTATTCCGTCCACAAGAAACGATTGCTTCCTCAAGTAGAGTTGCTCGCTTCAGACTTGTCCAATATTCATGAGTTCTGGGGTGAGTAACCATGCGCTACCAAAACCACTCTTCCTGTTTGTGTGAAGTCCAGGCTAAAATTTTTTTAAATATTTTATTTTATTTTTATGAAATTTTTATTAAAGGTTTTTCTAAATTTCATTGCAACAGCTGCGCTTTATTATAAGTATTTATTTGTTCTAGCAATAAAGTTATTCAAAATTTTTAAATTTTAAAACTACAATCGCACAACAACAAGCAATCAATATATCAATATATCCTTTTGCCCTTGTACATGTGTAAGGACAACAAATTTTGAAAAAAATCTGTCTCTATTATAATTCCGCCAAATAAATATTTTATATCCAACATGATACAATTAAAATATTTCCTTATTTCCAAAAATATTTCGAAATTAACTTTAAAACATACGAAAACACAAACAACTTTGAAATAACATACATACAACACAAATATTAGATGCCTATCGTTACGGTTACGATATCGGTAAAACTGGTAATTTCCATCATGAAACTCGTGGTCCTGATGGTGTTACTTATGGCTGCTATGGCTACATCGATCCCTATAATCATTTACGTGCCACACATTATGTTGCTGATTCGCACGGCTACCGTACAGTTGAACCAGAAAAGCCCGTTGAAGTATTTCCAGTGGCTGATGGTGCCGGCTTAGGAGTGTTACTGCAATGGCATGAATTATACTTCCCAATTGGCTGCGGTAAATTCGAGGGTGGCGTGCGTCCTGAAATTCCCTACTTCATAGTGGATGAAGTATGTTAAGAAAAGCATTAATAAAACCGTTAAATTGTACCATACAAACACAATACTTACTTTGCAGTCAAAACCACCAAATTACACACCAGGTTTTTCGAAATTCTCTTCTAACGTCTTAAAGGGCTCTGATCAAAAAAGTTTACCCATACGTTATGGCGATGGTACTTCAAAACGTGTCTCTGTAAGCACAGGTCTTTTTGATACTGGCAAAGGTCATACATATACACATACGCCTGGCGTAGGCGCACCATCATCGCAATCAATTGCAGCACTTAGACCAGGTGGAAATGGAAACTACAGTGAGCATAAATGATTTAAACACAGTAGTGTTGTTGAAGAACAAATTATGCTAGCACATAAAATACTTATATTTCAGATGATAATTCAGGACAATATGTACATGTAGATAACCCTTATGATCACATTGTAGGAGCTCAGGGTACAGATAATAATGATCAAGGCGGCGTTGGCGGCGTTGGAGGAGTAGGTGGTTTCGGTGGTAATGGTGGTAATGGAGGTTTTGGACCAAATGGACCCAATGGCCCTGGAGGCCCAGGTGGACCCAAAGGTCCTAATGGACCACCAGGCCCTAACGGACCACCTGGTCCACCTGGACCACCAGGTCCTTATGGCCCAACTTCACCAGGTAGCTTTGGACCACCAGGACCACCCGGACCACCAGGCAAAACATATCCAGGACCCCCCGGACCTCCAGGACCTCCAGGACCAACTGGTCCTGGAACCCCAGGAAAACCATATGATTACCCCATAGGCAATGGTTTTCCTGGGGTCGTCGGATACGAGAAAGGTTAGCAAGTGTTTTAAAAACAAAATAGTTTTATGCAAATACACGCAATAAGTATCTTAAACGAATATGCAATTCTCCGTAAAGTTTTGAATGAATGTGAAATATAGTAAAATCAATTTTTCTTTTCTTGCTGTTGTTGTTGCACTTGCTGTTGCCCACTGATCCACAAAGGCCTACATATAAGACGAATCTTTCTTAGTTTAATGTTAAATTCTTTTAAATGGTTTTTTATATCTTTCAAGTAAAATTATAGTTTTGATAGTCAATTAAAAATGAATGGGAAAAACTGTTGCAGATATTTTTTTTAAAGAATCTTAAAGTTGTGACATTTCATTTTTCAATAAATGAATAAGCTATAATTTTCTTGAGTGTTAGAATTTCTCTAATGCAATGTCAGTCCACTGAATTATAGCATTTCCAAGAGTGATTAAGCAGTGATTCAAAAGTGAATTATTATCGCAACTGTTTGAATATATTTTCTTTTAAAATTACTAAGTATGCTGTGCTATAAACTTGTTTTTGTTGGTTTTCAATGTAACATTTACCATAAAACGTTGTTAATTTTCCAGTAGTTTACTAGTTTGCTAGTAATTTTAACAATACTTATCCTTTCTAAAACCAAAATATCTTTCTCATTTTACGCTTAAAGCTATTTAACCATTTTAATCCTATTAAAGTTACAAGTAGTTAAAAATAACATTAACTCCTATTCTAACCAAAAAATGCTTCATTAAAATAAATTAATTGAAATATTAATTTTTGTTTCTATTAGAAATAAATAATTTAAAATATTGTACTTCAAAACCCTCAGGTAAAAAAAAATATATACTGAAATTCATACAGACTTTTTATATATTTCTAATAATTAGAAATTTTTAAAGCTCAATAGAAAGGATATGTAGCGCGAATAATGCATATAGACATGATATTCACACAGAATAAATTATCCAATATTAAACACCAATGTATTTTAGATACAATCCTGATATCTATGTCTATCTACCTGCCTATCTATGAGTACCAACCCTTAATTCTCACTATCGTACATTAATGAAGTTTAATTGCCTTGTGGTGCACAACAGCAGTGATCAGAAGTGACAACTTTTCCTTATGATTTACTGTGCCGTTTATTCAAAGCTTAACAGGAGCATTCAATATATTTAGTTATTTTTTGTCAGATCTAAGTACACTTTTTAATTTTATATCAGTATTTAAATAAAATTAGTTATTTATTAAATTTTTTTATATATAAATACATACATGAACACTGCCATAATTATGTATACGTCCAAATATGGGCGTGTTAACACCTTTTAAGCTAAGCAATTAATAACCAATAAAATTTATTATAGGAGGAAATTTAATTTATATATATGCCAAATTAATACCATTAACAATAATGCACAATTTTAAAATTTATTTCTTTATGATATATACAATTTTTTTTAAGTTTTCTCTATTTTCAGCAAAAAAAATAATAATATTGCAACTATTACCGTTAATCGTAACCGCACACTCACGAATTAAAAATATAAATATAAAATTAAAAATAAATTTTCAGTCGTATGAAATCTCTAAGATTTACTATAAATAGTAGGGTCCTTTTTGCCACTGCACTACTATTTTGCTCAAGCACCTTAAGCACATGAAATTTTTTACTCTCTTCTTACTCATACACACACGCACACACATAAAAGCACTTGACAATGTATATATGATAACTACACAAAGTCACGCACACATAAATCACACCATAGACCGTGCTGATCTTTTTGCGCCTTACAAAAAATAGTCCTATAGCGTGATTGTCAAGGCGTCTCATCCACCAAAGCTATGCCTGATTCGAAATTAATAAAAAAAATACTTGATAATATTTATTTGACTAACATATTTATAAATAATTAATTAATTATTTCATTATTTATTTATTGAAATCATTTACTAACATTACATTTGGTTTGGTATTGTTACTAATTTTTGGGTGCTTTCGTTAGTGCCGCTTCAAGCTTATATATGCTTCAATGCTTTTTAGTAAATTATTTGTATTTTAGTTAAAACATAGTCAATTAGTTGTGTTTAGTTATAATAATTAGGATTTGTAGCTTATAAAATAAATTTATAAAAATTTTAAAACTTTTTACTAATTACGTTTTGCCAAATTGTACTCTCTTTTCTATAGATAACGGTAATTATAATGATAGTGATGATCGCTTTAAAGGTAACAAATTTATAACATAATAATTTAAAAAAAACATATATTAATGCATACAAAATTTAAAAATTTTTTAGGTATTAATGAAAGTAAATATCTACACGATGATTCTGGAAAATATGTTCATTCCGATGATGGCAAATATGTTCATATTGAAGGCCCAACAGGTCCACCAGCACCCCCATATGTTCATATTGTAGGACCAAATGGCGGTGAAGGCGGTGTTGGCGGTGATGGTAGAGGTGGTGGTGTCGGACCAGGCGGACCCGGAGGACCAAAAGGTCCTGGCGGACCAAAAGGACCACCCGGCCCACCCGGACCTCCCGGACCACCCGGACCACCAGGTTATATACAATATTCATGAAATAATAAAATGATCAGGATTTTTCAGCCTAAAATGCATTCTTACGTAATTATAAATATTATTTTACAGGCCCAAAGGGACCAACTAAACCAGGACCATACGGACCATATGGACCACCCGGCCCACCCGGACCAAACGGACCCACTAAACCAGGACCACCAGGACCACCCGGCCCACCAGGACCAACCAGACCAGGACCACCAGGCCCACCAGGCGGTTATCGTCCAGGACCACCCGGTCCTCCAGGCCCAACTTATCCAGGACCACCTGGCCCAATAAATCCAGGTCCTCCAGGTCCCCCAGCTCCCCCAAAAGATCCCAGAGATTCACATTTCCATCAAGACGGCTATTTGCCACCAGTTCATAATGGTAAAGTAATTACTTCTACTATTAATAATTCATTAAATACTGGGGTAATACCACCTCAAGTAACGAAAACAACCACTACCACAACCAATACACAAACATCTTTTGTGCCAAAATATACAAAAAATAATGTAACCACTTCCACCACTACTACCACAATAACAAATTCAAATAAGCAAACTTTTTTCAGCAATGTTAATAAAACTATACTAACCTCAAATCCTCCTTTTTCTCCTCCTAAAACAATCACTACAACCACCACAAACAAATTTGTTCCCGTGAATCCACCAACCATATTCCACACAACAAACACAAACACTGAACAACACCAGGGCGTCGTAATTGAGCAGAGCAAACCATTAAAGACCATTACAACAACGACCACAACTACAAATCAAAATTCTGGTAATAAATTTGGCTTTAATATTGATAAAACTGTAACAAATACACACAATACTAACACACACACATATACGAACCCACAGACTGTAGAAAAGATTACTACCACAACAAATACCTTCCACAAACCAGAAACACATACTGTAGAAAAAATAACAAAAACCTACACAAAACCTCAAACAGTAGAAAAAGTAGTCACGACTAACACTTACCGTACGGACACGAATACGTACACCAAACCGCAAATAGTTGAGAAGGTCACCTCCACTAACACAAAAACCTTTAACACTAATACTTTCACCACTAACACAAATACATTTAGCAATCCACAAGCGATTGAAAAAGTGAAATATACACCGCCATTCCCAATTGAGAATCAACACAAGATTGTCGAAAAGGTTACTGAAACCTATGTACATCCGGAAACTCCTAAAGGCCAAATAACAGCAAATTTTGTCAGCAACTATGATAGCAAGTCTCAAGATAGGTATAACAAGAAGACGACCACGACAACGACATCTAAAGAAAATACTAACATCTTAACCAATACCAAAACAAATTCTAATGTAACACCTCGTCCCAATTCTACCCCATTCCATGTACAGAACAATGAAAACTCGTGCTCATGTAATTCGGATAAGACGCACTCATCAAAAACCACAACAACTTCAACCTTTTCCTCCTCCTTCAACAAACCTACCTCCAACAATCAAGATTTCACCACCTCAACCGGTTTCACCGGTCAGGCGAATTTTGGCAGCATAATGAACTCCATGTCTTTGCTACAACAATTACCAGTCTTTCCAGCTGCACCCGGTTATCCAGTATCTTATTCACCAGATAAAATACCCAAAGGTGCAGTTGTTGCTTTTATGCCAGTAGTAATATTACCACCAGAAGCGTATACCAATTGCGATGATAACAATCACCAGTTCCAATACAATATCGATTCCACACCATTAGGAGTGCAACCATCCGCTATACCTTTCAGTTTTGGCCTAAACTCACTGTTTGCGGGGGGTGCACGTAAAGATCAATGCATGTGTCCATGCTCATGTACGCAAAATATACCAGAGAGATTACATAAAAAACGGGACGCAGACACAAACGACATACCAGTGCCTGAAGTAGTAGCTGAGGAGACAAAACAGGATGAGACTAAGGTTAATATCGACGATAAAAACGATTTAGGCACTACTGAATTGCGCAGCGACGGCGCTGAGGAAAAATTACAAGTAGAAGCGACAAACGAAAAACCTTCAACGACCACAGCGACTGCTAATGATGACAAAGCAGCATTGGTTTAGAGACTTAAGTAGTAGTGCCAGTCGCTGTTGATGAAACTTTGTGAACCAATTAACAAAAATTAAAAAAGACTAGAAATGACGAAACGATTTAAAATTGAAATTCCTGTTTACCCGTTAACCGTTTCTTGTATCCAATATACAAACCTTCTGCAATAAAACTTGCTTAGTCCCAACATTCGACAACGGTTACGCACGTTCCTTACAAATCAATCCTAGTCCAATATATCCTGTTAAAAAAATCTCCAAATATCCTGCCCGTTCCTGTTCTGTTCCCGCTCCGTCCTGCTTCATGATCCCGTGTAATCCTTAACAATGTTGCTCATACTAACTATGAGATTAAATTGATATTAGTCTTTTAAGCTCTTTATCTAACCATAATATAAATAAGATTTATATCAAAGAAAACTTTAACGAAGTCAAATAAAATGGTTACGATAATGTTAATGATAATGATAATGCTGATTATGAAGTACATTATTATGTTGTTATAAACAAAAACTTTTGTAAATTCAAAATTTTTCCTCTATTGTATATTTTTGTTGTATTTGTAATTAATATCGCTTATAAGCTTGTTTTTATTAAAATAACGAAATAATATTGTAGCTGTACACTGCCTACTAAGTGTAAAATTTTTTTCAGTGTAAAATTGTTATATATGCCTTTGGCTAACATTATATATATATAAATGATATGATTGTAATGCTAATGTAAATGCAAATAATAATCGAACTATGAAAATAATTATATTAGTGATGATAATATTGATAATGTAATCTTTTTTTAGATATTGTATAAATACATATACATACCATGTAACTGGCATATAGTCGAGAAATCGGCGTTTAATGAAGAAATAATTCAAGTGAAGTTTTATTGTAAAATGTTGTTCATAATGCTCTTTATTTTTGTAGTTTTATTTTTATATTATTTTATATTTTGATTTGTTCATCACTATTTTAATTCTTCTTTACTCTTAGTTACTAGATTTTATTTAATATATACTGAATAAAATAAAATAAAAACCAACAAAAATTTTTATTAAAATTTTTGAATTAAAGCATTAAAATTACTATATGATATGAATTTTGTTTTTTTTTTACAATAAATACCAAAAAAATTAATTTCGTTTTTTATTTTCTGAAATGTTTTATAAACGTAAAAATATATATTAAAATAAATTGGGGTTTTGCATCACGTTATCTTAATTACAGAACTCTTTATTAAAAAGGTTTTGGATCCCGAATATTCTCATTACCTATGCAATAACAAATATAATGAAATATAGTTTCATTATATTCATCCAGTACTTACTTAATGGGTGCTAAAAGTCGTAAAAGATAAATAAACGTTTCTAAAAGCTTCTGATAAATAAAGTGCTGTAAAATTGAAAATTTACAAGCGATTTCGTCAGAATTTCCTAGATCCTTTACTAAAATTTGAATTTAAATGTTTTTTAAAAAAATGGTTCCTTGGAAGAGATATACTCTTTTTCATTGTGATGTAAATTTTATACATATATCATAGTTAATAAATACAGAAAAGTAATTCAACATAGGCTTTGATATAGAACTAGATCATCACTGAATAACATATTTGCAGTAAATATGAGCAGAAGAACTATATACTTTTATGACGCATATATATTCTGAAGTATCCTATTGATATTGTTAATAAAACACCGAGTTTTAAACTCTTCTACGTGACATTTAAAACAGTTGATGATAAAGCAAAGCGTTTGTTTTTATGAGAGATCAGGTTTATCATTGTAAGGTTAACATGCATCACAGTGGCCATGAAATTCTGTTCAATTGAAACATTAGAGGTACTTCTAACTATCCCACCATGTACGTTATTTATTGAGAAAAAAGCTTAACTAGGTGTCTTGAGATAAGAAGACATTTTTAAACTCAATAGCGAAAATATAAAAGGGTATCTAAAACTGCTAGAAAGCTTATTATTAAAACTGGTTTTATTAAAATATTTCCAGGTTATTATTAATGAGCATAAGATCTGGAGTACAAATTTTATTACTTCAAACTTAATTCACAAATTTAGTACACGATTAGATCGAATTATGGTAGAACAGTTGTAGGGATAAATACGGCAAGAAATAAAAACTCATGAGATAAGTAAAATTTATTTCTAATTGATAGTGAGCCTTTTTGTGGATTCACAAAATGTCACTTAAATAAGATCATCAAAAAAAAAGGGAAGAGTAAACATTCGCAGATCACTAGCTTAATACTGTAGGCCCATATGAAACAAACGATTTCTTATATCCGCGAATGGAATATTAAACAAAAATACTTTCGCTAAGTAGGGTAGACCCAAAGACGCTTCCCGGTTACTCTTCAAATCACTGTAACCTTTGCTATTAATTAAATAAGTTTGGGCTCTCTGTTGTCTTTTGTTTTCGTGAAATGAACATCGAAAGTTCAGAAAACCTTCATTGTGACTGCCCAGCATTGGCTGCGATATTGTTTACCACTTAGATGGTATCGTTATGCATACACAATATCATATTAAATGCTAGAAAGCGCTGCAAGATACTTTCGTTAAGTAGGGTAGACCTAAATACGCTTCCTGGTTACTCTTCAAATCACTGTAATCTTTGTTATTAATTAAACAAGTTTTGATCTCTCTGACACTGTCTGACACTGTTGTTTTCGTGAAATGAACATCGAAAGTTCAGAAAACCTTCATTGTGACTGTCCAGCATTGGCTGAGAAATTGTTTACCACTTAGATGGTGTCGTTATGCCTCCATACGCAGTATCATACTAAACGCCAAAAAGTGCTGCAATTATGCTTAGTTTATATTAGATTAATATTAATATAATATACTATATTATATAAATGATAGTCTCATATAACATGTAATCAATTTCTCCCTAAGTGAATCCGTCATAATATTCCATCAGTAATGTCGAAAAAAGTTTAAGTCAGCTTTAAGCTGATTGTAGAAGTTTTATTTAGGGATATTCTTGATCATTTTGAAGCGATATTGTCTTTAATGCATACATTGCGCATGTTGCAAAAAAACTGAAGAAAGAAAGAAATTTTTTGTATATAGCTGACTTTAAGGAAGTGCCGGACAATGGAATAGAATAAAATTATTATTATCAGAAAAAGTTTTGTTAGAATGAAGTTAACTAGCATTCTCTTCTCAACATTTAAGATATTTTTAATTTTTTTTTATTTTTATTACATTTATACTAAGTGTAAAGTTTGAATTAATAACAACTAGTCATATTGACGAACAAGATAGTTTTAATGATTACAATTTATTTTTTTTCTTTAAATTATAGCATAATTTTCATAAAATGAAATCAGTAACAGTAACAGATACTTTTTACAGTGGAACAATCTATGTAACATGCATGAAACTATCTTATATAGTTGAAGGCCTGAAAATATGCAAAAAATATATTATTTTGACATTCAGATAAATAATTTCAAAGTTTTTGAAATTATGCAAACCAGAAGTGGGGCACCTATTATTAGTCAAATATTTTTATATTAACAGTAGGAAACATCAAGTAACTTATTATTATAAGTCATTTGCTTAACATACATGACATCAGTTAATTTTTTCTTATTTGGTTCGTTTATTCAGACAATCTTGTTATATATATGTTATATAAAGTAAAATAATAATTTTACGTCACATTTGAAATTTGTTTAAATTCCGATTTATTTTCTATGAATCAGCTTTCTAATATGTACTTTAGTGCATATTGCATGCAATTTGTGCATCTTATTCCGAAGTTGCCATCAAAAAGTTAACCTAACTTTTTCAATATTATTTTATTATCACTATAAAAATCACTATAGACACATTTGATGTGCTACTTGGAAAGCACTTTTATCTACTTGCATTTATTTTATTTCATTTATTGCCTTCACGTTGTTAGTCATTTTATTTCATATCTTTAACTTTATTTTGTAGTTTTGTCTTAATTTTCTCATATAAAATATAAACATATGTTACTTTGCATGAATATTTCTTTTCTTAAGCATCTTAAAGCGAAATTATTACTGAATAACCACATGATGGAGGTATTCCTTACAAAACTACAAAAACAAAAAAGGAAATTCTATGGAGTCTATAAAACCATTACATTTAAATGGAACTCATGTAGTGAAATCGATTTTCAGATTGTTACATTGCTTGACAAGGGTAAAGTACGTGAAGTCATAAAAATAATTGAAGTTTTCCACAGAATGTTTTTATTATAGCAAAACATTCATACTCTGATATTTTTCAAAACATATGTGGTTCATGAAAATAGTTACAAAGCTGTGGAGATGCAAAAGAATTCTACAAATTCACTTTTCAATAAAATGACATGTAATCGAATTTTCGTTTATCCTTTACTGTAAATAATTTAAGATTCCCTTGCTGAGTTTCTTTTTTATGCATTCATCGATATGTTCATCGAAAAAAATTTTTAAATTATATACTGTTTCAGTTTAAAGGTTTCAAGATTATAACAAATTGTGCGAAAAAGGTTGACTCTCAGAATATTACTTAGGTATATATGAGGGTAAGTATGTCTGCAATATTTGTTCATTACTCAATTGAGCACCTTTTAGCTTATATCTTTCAGTAAGTTAATATAAATAAATTGTATTGTAATGTAGAATATAGAAATGTCTCATATACATATAGTAAAGAAAATAATTGAGCACCTTTTGCATAATATATCTACTAAATGCAGTAATAGTGGTATCTTTCGTATTATCCGCAGTATGAAAAAAAATACTTTTACGAAGAAGTACAAAAAATAGTAAGAAATATTAAATAAATAAATTGAAACAATATTATGTCCCACGCAGAGCACATCTACGAATTGTAATCGTTATTTAACGTTTGCTATTGAGTTGTTATTTAACAACAACAAAGTAGATATTAATAATGCATGTGTTAAAAAGTACAAATATATATTGCATGTTGGTGTATTATAATGCCAGAACTTTGCATTAAGTTTTAATAACTGTACAATCCGAGTGTTCCAAGAATTTGCTGACGGCTTAAAGCAAAAAATGAACCATTACAACTATTGGCATTTAAATACGTAACGAAATTGGTCCTGAGAAATAGTAATTTTAATATAGATATCGTAGTTTTCTCGTACAGTAAAGTTGCTATGAAATTTGTAATAAACTTTTTAGTTTCCTCGTTAAGAATCTTAGACTTCTTTCAATATAGCCTATAGGTTCTTTGTTTTTATTTATATACCTAAGTACCTGGACACAGGAACATCTCTAGTAAACGACTTAGCTGGCTATTAAACAAAAAAAATCTTTCAGTAGTTAAAAAAACCTGGGTAAATGAATACTCTTGTCATACTATAGGATTTTTTTTGGACAAATTTAGACAAGAAATATATTAGTTAGCTGATACTATCTAGCGGAACTAACTAAGTATTAGGTTATTGGAAATGGCAGGTTATTTCGTATAAAAAGATATGCAATAAGTTTTGATCTATCATATTTAGCGTAGTAGCATTATTGTAAAATAGGAGATTAAGCTGTTTAT